CCGAAATGTTGGCAAAAACGATGGAAAATGCAGCAAAAAGGCCACAATACGTCATCAACGCCAGAGGCGGCCATTTGAGAGATATCATGTTCAAAAATTGATGTAAACAAATCTACTTGGAACAAATTAAATGATTAACATTGCCAACCGCCAAATTTTTATTTTTTTCTTTGATTAAAAAAAAAAATCATGGGTCCGTCGAATATGGGCAACCCTGTACATAATGTTTTACCTAAACCGGTTTGTAGAATTATCGGTATAGGTTCACTTTTTGGTATGTTCCCTATATTTTCAAGTATCTGTTAGTGTACCTATGGTGGTGGGTATCAAAAGTTCGGCCCGGCCGAACTTAACGCTTTTTCACTTGTTTATTTTTTTCAGTATTTTTAGCAATGGAACGAATTTCGCCTAAAAAATTAAAAAACAGTAAGCCATTATTTTATAATTATATATAAATTTATATTACGCCAATCTTCCCCTCGTAATTGTGACGCATTCCAATCGGCATCCCTAACCTTCAATGTTATACAAGTTCGAAGTTACGTACGCAACATATCCCCCCATTGTATTGAATTTCTATTTCTGTACACACATGAGTTGTATGTTTGTTTGCCTTTCATTGTAATTGTTGTTGTAATTAAAATAAATGTTACCGTTGTTGCTATTTTGGGGGTTGCGATTGCCAATGAGATGTGGAGGAGAGCAAAAATTTTTGGCGCCTCAGCACAAAGAGTAACGAAAAAAAATGAAACGAAATGGAAAAGAGACGAAACAACATTACCCTTAAACAACTTTAAGCCGTAATAAACGAAACGCGTGTACTATGTCAAACAATTTCGTATTGTGTTGTGTCGTGTGTTTGTTGCTGTTTTTGTTTTGCTGTTCCTTTTTGTTTGAAAATGCCGCTATTGGGGATAAATACAGTAATGCTAATATTGAGGTTTTTTGAGATTTAATTACTAAATCGAATGAATTGAAATTAATCACAAGATTACAACAATGAAAACATAAGGATTATAGATTTCCCCAATAACAATTCCCTGTAAAACAACTTGATTTTTTATCTTACTTTTGAAAATATTTTTTTATTTATATTTGATGAAATTTTTTTTTACAAACAATGTGCCAATGGCTGTACATATTTCAAATTCGCCGATAAAGTTGACAACACTGTGCACAATTAAAAAACATTAAGAAATTTTGTGACTACAAAAATGTGAACCGGAACAAAAGTGGAAAACGGCAAATCTACCAAAGAAAAAGACTGCAATTTTAAATTTCAACTAGAATAAGATGTTGGCGTTATTATTTGACATTCATTTAACACACAAATTGTATATAAATATTATCTGTCAAGGATGCCGACTAATGGAAATGGAACATAATTTAAAAAAATCGTTATAATTTTGTTTTTGAGACTCTCCGAAACCTCCCATATAAAATAATTTCAAAAATAAGCTCATTTATTAGTGTACATCACACTTTTGAATGTATGGAAAATTCAACATAGATTTTTGTCTTCAGGGTAGCCGATATTCCAATTTTGAGCCTCATTGGTATGAAAATTAGATTTGGACTTTCAAGATACCTTAAAATAAGGTTCGGAAAACGCAGCTTGAACCATCAAAATACTTACAGTGGACAGGAAATAAACAGTTTGGATCTTGGAAGGTGTTGGCACATCGAAGCAAATTATCGAGGTTTCTTCTGTATAACTGGTCATGTGTCGTTAATTTAATATGTTTACCTGTAGTCTTTAATTTGAAATAAACATATCACCTGATACCAGTGCATTTTTAAGCGATCACAAAGTACCATTATTGGATAATCGGCAGTTCAGGCCTGTTGGCGCCCAATCATGAAACAAATGCTTGGTCAATGGAACCCCCTCTCCCTATTCTATATTTGAAATGCGATTAAGAAGCTTCAAAAGAAGCTGAATGAGGGTATATATCATAAAAGAACATTTATCGTAATGTAAACTAGAGCCCCGACTTGAGTCGTCCCGATTTGCCTGGTTGTGGTAGGAAATTAGTGTGTGATTCGCCAGAGTACATTAAGGACGTCAAAATAAAAGAAAATTAATAAGTTTGGAATTAAAATTGGACGTAATAAAACGTTTTAAATCGGGAGAAAAGGCTGTTAGTAAAGAAAGAGCTTTTGGACTAGCCCCTACAACAGTACGAACAATTTGCAACCGAGACAGTGATAAAATAAATCCATTAGCTGTAATTGTCACACCACTCCAATCTAAACAAGATACTATAGCAAGAAATCCCTTATTGGTTATGACGATCGTGATCAAAATAAGCGAAGAATGCCACTGAGCAAGGACGTAATAAAAAATAAAGTTCTTTCTATTTACTTCAACTTTAAAAAAAATTCTGCATTCTGATTCTATCGAAGCCAGTAATGGTTGGTTTAACCGCTTTAAAACACGGGCAAATTTACATAATGTGGCATTAAAAGGAGATTCATCCGGCGTGAGCTGAATGCCATTATTGAAAAAGGAGGGTATTCTGCTAAGCACGTTTTGGAATGCCGACGAGAACTTGTCAAAAAATGAGAAAGCATGCCCTGGATATAAAGCAGATAAGGATCAGGTAACACTTCTTTTGGGCGGAAACGCAGAAGGATATTTTAAATTTAAATTTTTCTTGATAATCCAAGAGCAATAAAAAGTATAAACAAAAAAGACATCCCGGTACACTCTAATAAAAAAATTTGGATGGCCCTGTTTAAATATTGGTTAGAAAATTGTGCCATTCCTGAGTTTTAACGCTATTGTTCCTCTCAACAAATTTAGTTCCAAATGCTTTTATTAGACGATAACGCACCAGGACATCCAACTTCTGCAGATGACTTATCGGAGCATGTAAAAGTTGCCGCCCAACACAACATCACTTATTCAACCTATGGACGAGGGTGTAATTTCGAACTTTAAACTGTACTATTTACGCCGAACTTTCCGCAAACGTCTTGATTCAATATACCAAAATTATCAACTCTCTATGAAAGACTTCTGGAAAAACTACAACATAGTGAAAGTCATAGGAAGTATACATTTATCTGGGGAAGAAGTTAGAGCATCCTCCTTGAAAGGGAGTTGGCGGCAATTATGGCCAGCACTTATTGATGGAGACGAATTTGGCTAATTTAGCTAGAGAAGCCGAATCAGAAGGAATGGAGGAATGTGATATTAATGAAATTTTTCTGTCTCAGGATGAGGAGCTTGATAATGAATATTTATTATCCATTGATATTCAGCATGTTTCAGAAGAAGATGCCAAAATAAGTGATGATACATTAGAAGAAAAAAATTAACAATCGTCAATATTTCCAAAGCTATGCAACTAGTTTCCCTTGCAATGGATATATTTTCTGAAAACGATCCTGACGAAAACCGTAGCATTCTGATCAAGCCATTAGTTTTTACAGACCATCCAATCAAATGGATATACGTGTTGTTGATTTCGAACGATATACAATTTTATATTCTATAATTATGTCGATTTAGGTACAAATCTTTATTTATTCCATTTTTTGAGTATTTCAATGAAAATTTCAACAAAACATCATTAGCAGTTTCATTGGAATTTGTTATTTTCAACATTTTGTTGCATAGTGTAAATTGGTATAATTGAAATTTGTAGAAAATATGATTTTTGACACATACAACAATTCCACGAAATAGAGAGTAAATCATGCCAATCTCCAAAAAAAAGAACTCTATTTCGCTAAATATGGAGTCAGCACGGAATCCCAATTTGTTGGGAAGTTTATTAAAGCCAACTCAAAACAAAACATCAATTTAAAGAGACGTGTTATTTACCAAAATATTTGAAACCCCCCTTTTGCATTGTTTTGAATATTTTCTCCAGTAAATTAAAATTCAGTGCATTTTGTATATGTATAGAAAAATGTGATTCGATTTGCTTCATTTTGAGTTGCGTCGCGATTCTCCGGTCCCCATCAACGACGCAAGTCGGGGCTCTAGTGTATTCTTATTATCTATCTAAACATAGACCTATAGGGACATTTTCTGTCAGGATGTCTTTTGGCCTTTGAAAGAATTAATTACTAAATTACTGAAATTTAGGATGGAATATGTAAGTCTATAAAACGGGAACAAAATACTCCTTATTAACCCAGATATGCCGTGTATACTACGTGTCTATGGTTAAGTTGTTTTGTTTACTGCACCTTAAATTTTCTAATCAGGATGATGAGACAGAACATAACCGTTTATAAAGCGATATGTTCTATAGAGCCTCTACAAGGTGATTAGAACAGATATCGTACAGTAAACACACAATTTTAGGCATAACATATGTACTACATGTATGGGGCTTTAACACATCAGACAGGACAAATGAAAAAACTAATTTTGATATGATCAAGAATAAATATACTATATATACTTAGATTTTTATTCTTTGGAAGATATTATTTCTCTAGAATTTGAAAAATGACATTGACAGATCTTTTTATAGATGACATGTAGAGGGTTCCCAAATAATGGGTCTTACTATAGAAGATCCTCGTTTTTGTATAAAAAACCTTAGAACACCTCCAGAAGGTATTTTGTTTACGGGAGACATCGAAAACATAATCCATATATATAGTTTTCTATATACTAAACCCTTAACAAGCTCTATAGGTATATTATAATATATTCCATTAATAAAATATCTCAACATAAGGGCTCATTTCCTATTATTATAAAGCTTTATCTTTCGCATCGCGACCTAAAATAAAATTAAATATTAGTATATTTCTGGCATATTTGAAGTCCAATAATGACAATAGACCATAAACTCTATCAATGTTCCTTTTTACATAGAGGTTTAACATCCTATAGCACTATGAAATTTTTAATTTATAGAATATCTGCATTTTCTTCCTCTTTCCTTTTAATCTCATTTTCTTCCTCTTATCCTCCGTTTTCCCTAGATGAAGTATTTATTTATGTACGAGTATATGACCACTTGCCATCTTACCTGAAAATTTATTGTTGCTGTAACGGCTCTCATCGACTCCGCATAATTCCTTAGAATGTGTTCGTTGTGTAAACTGGTTTGGCGCCAGTCGTACAGGCTTTCCACTTTTTGGACACAAAGTTCGCAAATGTTTTTGGGTAGAAAATCTTCTTTGGCAATCTAGAAAAAAAAAACGATTTGCAAAATGGGAAGAATGTGGAATGGCATCAATGAGGTCAAAATGCAAGAAAATGAAAAAAACAAGACTTGTTGAGGGGTGGAGGGGCAGGAGCAGATGAGTGCTACTTACATTAACCGGCATTAGCAAACGTAACTTATAAACGAGATTACGTTGTTCGGCTTCCTTTTCGAACAGGTGAATTTTGGCGGGCCCATTACGTAGCGAACACAGGCGGCATAATTCGCCAAAGGTTGCAAAGTTCAGATTGGCATCGTAATCGTGTGCGTTGATGTTGACGATTTGTTGGGATTGCTGCTGTTGTTGTGTTGGTTGTTGTTGTTGCTGCTGCTGGGGCTGTTGTTGGTGATGCACTGTTTGTTGTTGTTGCTGATGATGATTATGTTGTTGCTGTTGTTGTGTTGTATGATGTTGTTGTTGATGCTGCTGCTGTTGTTGTGTTTGTTGTTGATGTTGTTGTTGCTGCTGTTGATTGCCGTTATTCAACATAACTATACGTTTTCTTTTTATTTTATTCTACTACGGTCCACCATTTAGTATTTCGTGGGGCGTGAATATAATAACTTACTAAATTAAAAAATTATAGTTCATCTACTTTAAATCACAGTCCAGTTTTGTAGTTAGTTTCACTTTTCTCGGGTTATCTGGTTAGGAATTTGAAAATTTTAAATACTGGAGGATTTTTCTCAATGAAGTTCTTAATTAGATTATAAATTCGTTTCACCGATTTATTATTGATCAAACGTGGGATTAAATATGAGGGATTCTATATATATTTATGGCCTAGGTTAAGTTGAATAGAGGGATGATTTATACCACTACATGTCCAAATGTAGGACAAACTCTTAGGACGAACCCCAAACCCGTAAAATAGAAAAAAAGTGCTTCCTGTCGGCTGATAGCAATAGAAGGCATAGCCTACCCGAATTCAAAGGTGGCTGCCAGAATCCATATAATATAAAACCAGTAAGGACAGTTCAAAAGTTGGATGGTGCCGACTATTTGATACCCTTCACCACTTTGGGTACCAACGGGAAATTTATGAAAAATTTAATGCCAATCATCGAGCAAAATATGTATAAGATCTATATATAAATGGGGGTATTTGTGCAACCGCCATTTGGTATGCTGCAACACAGTGCGCTATCCGAAATCTATCTCGACACAAAATCGAATTTCCGATTTCAACAACAAAATGTCGTGCAAATAGAACAGGATGTGAGCTATATTTAAATCTGAACCGATCTCAAACTTAACCAAAGCATTTTACACTAAATTCCATACCTGCTGCTAAGTTCCGTGAATATAGAACAAACATAGAATCCTCGGTGTGCCTTTTACATAAAATCGGACGAAACTATATCTGGGAGCAATATCTAAATCGAAACTGATTTCAACAAAACTTCACGGACATCAACCTACAGTAATTTCAATACGGATGTCAACCTGTAGTAACTTCAATACGCTATGCTAAATTTTTTCTCAATCGGACAAACATTGACAGTATAGTGTACCATTTATATAAAATCCGAGGAAACTATATATGGGAGCTATATCTCAATCTGAACCGATTCAAACAAAACTTCGCATACATAAATTTGGACCTAACTCGGCCTAAATTTGACTCTTTGGCGTTCCATTTACATAAAATCGGCCGAAACAATATATGGAAGCTATATCTAAATTTGAACCGATTCCAACAAAACGTCGCATACATATATCTTGACCTAATACAGTACTTTTTCTCAATCGGACCAATATTCAGTACCCTGTGTATATATAGGAGCTATATCTTCTGATTCCAACAAAACTACGCATACATCTATCTAGATAATTCAGGTGTAACATTTTGTATGGTGTTCCATTTACATAAAATTGGACGAAACTATATATAGGAGCTATATCTAAATCTGAAGCGTTTTTTCCAAATAAGTGACAAGTGCCAAATTTCATCCAAATCGGATCATAAATGCGACATGTACCTTGTGCACAAAAATACATGGATGGACGGACAGGCATAAATCGACTCAGAAAGTAATTCTATGCATATTCTCAAAAGGAACCATGGGTCTATCTCGATTCCTTTTTCCTGTTACAAAAATATACACTGTACCACAGTGGTGAAGGGTATTAATACGAGCGAGGTTGCCAGGAGTCACAACAGAGACGAGCTTAGCTATGCAGTGATCGACGAAAGCAATGTGTTCATTGATCTGAGCATCTGCGGTTTCAAGGGGGGCTATAAAATCAATCAACCTATCAAATGTATGCTAATGAGGAAAAGGGACGTTCCTCAATTACAAAAGGCAACGATCTTCGTTAGATATTGAGGCAACGAGTTCACGTCAGAAAGCAAGGTCGAAAGCAGGTGATACTCAACTTGTGGTAGGATCTGTCTAGGCCTACCACAAGTTGAGTATCAATGACAAGTCTAATCAAGGGCAAGGCACATTACGTGTCCAATGAGTGAGGAAGCCGAGGAGAAGATAACCGACTCCAAAAAAGGTCCTCCATCTGTGTGAGACGACAACACTGGCTCTGACGGAAAGAATAATTAAAGGTTATATACACATCGGCTCTGACCTTGGATTATCAAAAACAAGGATTAAACCACATGAATCATATCGGTTAAAAGCAACACATTTTTACCGACCACATCGTGGAATTGATTAGTTATCCGTCATTACATGCCTGACTTTAAACGTCAAGAAAATAATGTGTAGTGCATGATTTTCTTCACCAGAAGATACCGGCTCAATCAGAGAGGAAAAAGTACTTCGATAATTAGTTTCAGCGCATCAAAAGAGGAGGGTATATTGAAAATTGAGGAGGGCTCGGAAAACTCAAGATTTATTTTTGAGAAGCTCCATTTGACATTTTGCTGCAGTTTACAATTCGGCGGATATTTGAACTTTATTTTTTTTCGAAAATGAGGTAGGATCAACAGTTACGCTGAATACATTTCGAGATGATTAATGATTTGGTATGCTCGGATTTATATAGTATTGAGCTGTACAAAATATCATACAATCTAAAAACCAATATGTATTGCTACGCGAAATATTTCCGGTTCGTGTTATCTCTTGAAGATGTGATCACAATTAATCCACAAGATCATGTGATTGGAAACCTTCCAAATTCTCCATTTGGGACTGAATAAAATATATAGACAAGAATTCAATAGTCCAACCACAAACTAACTTCAAAGATGCAATTCCCAAGGCTATTGAAGATGTTTATGATATTTATGGAAAGTGGTATTTTTGAAGAAGGCATCATTAGAAGAGACCGATGGTTTCCAACTTCGAATTTAATATAAGTTTGGAAAGAATGTATTATTTAAGATTAAGTAAATTCCAATTGAATGGAGAGATATGTCTTCTTTTCATCGATTTTAAAGAATTTTTATGCACAATTTAAGCATTTTTCAACTTAATCATTTTAATAATCCTTACTTCATTTTGCAACTCACTGTACGAATGTAGCGCACATTAAAATCAACTCATTTTCAATTGAGCATCGGCAACAAAATTTCTTTTATTAGTCAGCAAAACAATTCTCCATCCATCCAACAGTTCGTTAACATTGTGCACTTCTATCTTCTTTTTTGTTTGTTGGTGTGCAACAAACGAAATGTAGTTCCGCATAAAATATTGCCAGCACGTTTTCTCAAATAATATTGAGTAGGGGATACCCCTATATTAGAGTGAGACAAAACATAAACATGCATTTTAAAGCGGTGAGAGAATACATTTTAGTTGTTTACCTCATTTGCAGAGAAAAGAATTTATGATTGTGTGATGAGGATGCCAGATAATGGAAACAGCGAATTTATACAAAATACCCAAGAAGAAATAAATGATTATGATAAAGGTCCTGAACATACATGCGCTTAGCATTCTGGTAGGACATTAAACTGTGAAAAAAGAATCCCAATTCGCACGTATTGCGAAATTCTATTCAGAGCGACTATACGTATCTAGTCTGAACATATATAAAAGAAATGCATCGGTTAAGAACTATATCCAATTATAAAGAGCATTAGAGTTACATATTGGACGCCACACATGACCAATAAAAAGTGCAATAAATAAATGTCTACTGGGAACGAAATTGTTTACTGATACACACACACGGTGCAAAAAACAAAGGCTACAATATGTCTTCTCGACCGAAATATAACAAAAAGATTATTAGATTATCTGTAGTTCGATCTCTCCCTGAAGGAATGAATTTGGCAAATGATACACAGATACGGAAAATTCCGACTGTGAAACATTGTTGCTTCTGTCGAAGGGAAACCCACCACAAATCCTTAAAATTCCATGTCAGCTTTTGGTCTGTTCCCATACTGCAAGAATCTACTACTTTTTACTACGATAACGAATTTTCCTTTATGATATCGAAGAAAATAGTAAAATCTAGACCATTTGTAAATAGCTTGCAATGTAGCCACACGAATTCTATCCCTGAATAATCTATGGGTCCACTCTTTCAAATACCTCCCCCAGTGTATGTCTTATATTAAGATTTTTACCCATAGCCTTATAGCTAATGAAGGTATATACACCTTGCTACGGCAAAATGTTCCGTTTTTTTTTTTTTTTTTTGAATAAATCCGTTTCAGAAAATATTTCATCGATTTACAACTATACGTCCGCCTGTCTGGCTGGTGCACACGATAACTCTCGAAGGGAGTAGACGTTTTCATCCAAACATTGCACATCTTAATATATCTTCCAAACTTAAATCATGTTCGAAGATGGGACCCATCGGTGCACTCCTTCTGATACCTTCCACACAAAATGGTGCTGATTTTACTGAAAATTAATTGTATATCATTCATGAACTAAACTTTGCACAACCTAATATTTTATGGGACTCATATGGGACCCATCGATCCAGTCCTTCTGGTCAAAATTTTGAAAATTTGTTAATCCAATAACAATCGTTTGGAATGTCCGATAGAGTTGGGTAGTTCCGGAAAGAACTAGTTCATTGGAACTGCTCCGAGAAAGGAACGATCGGAACTAGTTCCAACTCTTTAATTAACATAGTTCCTTTTTCTGATCTCGTTCTTTTTTCTTTTCCTTTTTCTCGTTTTTTTCTGATCTCGTTCCTTTATTCCCATATTCTGCATTCGTTGGTATTTCAAATTGTGTAAATAGTTACGTTTAATTTTTTTGTTTTAAATATTTTTATTTATTTATAAAAAAAAGTATTTTGTGCTTATCGTCCTACAGTTGAATTCTGTGGCTTCATTTCATTTTCTTCTTTTTTCATTTTTGCAATTTTTACATTTATTAACAAATCAACACGGAACTATGTGAGCGAAAAAGGAGTCGAAACTATATGGAGCAAAGGAACTATTTGAAGCAAAGGAACTGTATATAGGAACTATATGGAGCAAAGGTACTATATGGATCAAAGGAACTATATGGAGCAAAGGAACTATATAGAAAAAAAACGAAAAAAAAAACAAAAAGAACGATGAAAGAGAGATTCAAAGGAACTATGTAGGAGTCGGAACTATATAGAGCAAAGGAACTGTATGGAATAAAGGAAATATAGGGAGCAAAGGAACTACATTAAAGAACTAGTTCTTTTTTAAAAAAGGAACGAGAAAGATCGATCCGCTAAGTGAACAATATACGCACATTGTAATATTTTATACAAACTTAAATAAACTTCGAAGATGGATCCCTCGGATCACACCCCCCACCAAACTTTGCACAATCTAATATTTTAACCTGGACTTTTTGCTCTACACCTTCTAATAATTGCCCACAACATTTTGAAAAATTTTAAATCTCATATGAAGCGAAAGAAATATCCTATTTCATCGAAACTTTGTACAACGTATCTTACCTTACATAGATCAAGTTCGAAGGTGGCACAAAGGATCAACATTTTACAAAACGTGTAAATTTAATTTAAAGCGAATGAATAACCGATTTAAACCATTATTTTTACATCGTAAAATTTTACCAAACCTACTTTAAATCCGAAGATGGGGACTACTGGGTTCTTAGTGCAAACTCTTCTGGTACCACGGATGGTCAACGCCTTGAAAAAATATACTTTTTATACAACGAATAATAAAACCTGTGTATAATTCCGTAGACTGAGGTTATATATCTCACGGCAACACCGACTGACACTTTTTAATTCTTTTTCTTAAATTTTGTTGAATGTTTTACTAGTTTAGTGTGATCAGGAACGGGCTTGGAGTAAATAGTTGCAAAAATAGTAGATTCTTATACCACGGTCTAGTGGTTCCATTTTCCAAAAACTACAACACTGATAGTGCTACATTATTACACAACCAATACTAGACGAGGATCTTGCTTCTCATAAGTAGTACCTAAGCTCAATCTAATTTCAATAAAATCGAGCCCTTTTTTATTATTCTATTTTTCGGGGCATAGTTTGTAGGTGGGGCCATAGGGAATAGTCTTAGTGAGTTGGTTATGTCTTCTGCTAAGCCGAGACACTTATTGTTAAGGGTAAAGTAAGTGCATGATAAGTTATGACGTAAGATAGGTTTAAGCCGTTTAACCTGTTATAGATGTAAGATTTGAATTAATAAAATGGCCGTAGGCTAAAAATCGAAATCGAAAATCAATAAAATCGAGTTTGAACTCCCCGACTATGATTCGTTTAGCGAACACTGAAGGCTTAAGATCATTACCCACGCTTGCCCAAGTTGATGGACTTAGATCATAAGATGTATCCTAGTTTTTTATAAAAATGTTCAAGCTTCAATTTATTTATAATAAAATAATTAAAAATTTACAACAATCTGGTAACACCATTTAACTTAATTTGAGAGATAGTTGGTAAATGAGTAGTGGAGCAAGAATGTTTTGGTGCTGGCACGAAAATGACGTTTTTCCGGAAAAGCAGTGAAAAGCAATTTTCGCGGAAAAATGCACCAAGCGAATGTAACACCATAGCCATAGTGAAATTCATTGTTCTCGTTTTTTGGGCAAAATGACCAACACCACCTTCCCCCACACCCACTAATCTTGGGAAAAATCGATAATGCAGCCAATACCAACAATGCAAAAATTAAAGAAATTGATGGTTTAATTAATAAATAAAATGAAATTTACATTAATAGGGAGGGATGAATCTCCTTTTAGAAAATCAGCACTTTTTTGTTTGAACTTTTTTTCATGCCACCATATTTGAGATCATATCTGGATTTGGGTTATTTTTTTTATTTGTATTTATTGCATTGAACTTGTTTTCTTTTCTTTTTTCTTGGTCGTATTTTCTCCAAATACCAAAACCACAATTCGAGGGAATGCAGCTCTTTTTTTCTTATTCGATTAATTACATTTCATGCCAATTTGTGTTTGTCATGTGTATAACTATGTTATTGGAGCAAGTGGCACATATTTTTTTCTTTTGGAATTTTTTGGATGGTTATTGGTTGGGAGTAATCCAATTGGATTTTCACTGGGCTTCCATCAATCACATCACTTAACCGACGGAACAACCGAACACCGAATCGGCAACAAGACAATTTGCAAATTACCGCTGTGACCCATGCAATGGGCAATGGGACAATTACTACTGAAGTGAGTTAGTTGTTCCTCGTCGTCATCGTCGTAGTTGTTGGCAATGCAATTTTTTTTTGTTGAACGACCGAGAGTGAGCAGTGTTCGGTGCATGAACAACAAATCGTGTCAACAACACTTGAAATGCAACTTTTAAATGAAAGTGTGTGTGTGAGAGTGTTGTTGCACCAATTCTCTCATACTCTCGCTCGCCATACTGAGTTCTCTGGGAAAAAAACTTATCCAGAATATAGGCAAATGTGGAATGGGTATGATATGCGAATACGAGGAAATTTGGTAGGATGGGATACATTTTTTTGGAACGAACTGTTGGATTCATTCGGTAGGCAATAGTAAAGGATATGAATTTGTTTTTTATATAAAATAAAATGTGTCAGTCGGTGTTGCCCGACAGGTATATACCCTCAGCCTATGGTTTGCGGAGGTCTATGGGTTTTACGAGGACAGTTCGGAAAGTTCTTAGCCTATCACAAAAAAAATAAACCGCGTTTTGGAAACTTCGGTGTATGAACACATGTTAAATTTTGTTTCGATCTGGCAACTCCTTCATATAGAAACAAGTGTTCCAAAAAGGCACATCCGCAATTTTTTTACAGAAAGCACACATTTCTAATTTCTCCATTGTAAAAATTGCGGATGTGTCTTTTTTGAATACCTGTTTCTATATGGAGGAGTTGCCAGATCGAAACAAAATTTAATATGTGTTCATAACAGAGATGGCAACTCCTTTGTGTGTTTGACCCTTTGTGGGCAACATACCAGAAGTAATGGACCAATGGGCCCCATCTTCGGACTTGATCTAGACTAGGTAAAAATAGTAGGTTTTGCAATCGAAGAGTCCGTTCGCATGATATTATAAAATTAAAAATTTTTGACCATTTTGTATGGGAGCTACCAGAAGGAGTGGTCCTGTGTGTCCCATCTTGGAACTTGATTTAAAATTTGAAAGAAATTTTACGATATGCATATTTCGGATATTCCATACGTTTTTTATTGAATCAAAAAAATCAATATTTCGACCCTTCATGGGGAGGTGCCAGATGGAATGAACCGATGGACCCCATTTTCGAACTCAGTTTTAATTGCTAAAAATACGACAATTTCCAGAGGTTTTGAACATTCCATTTGCTTAATATTGCATTTTTATAAATCAAAAATTTTGAATTTTGTGGGAAGGTACTAGAAAAGTCTAATCTTCCAACAATATACAGGCTTGGTAAAAATATTAGGTTGTGCAAAGTTTGGTCCACATCGGATAGATCGTATAATAACACAAACAAATTTTCAGCAAAAATGTTGTCCATTTTGTGTGGGTGGTATCAGAAGCAGTAAGCCGATTTGTCCCCACCTTCGAATTTGATATAATTTGGAAATAAATATTACGATGTGCAAATTTTCGATTAAACGGTTACTCCGTTCGAAAGTTACCGTGCGAGAGACAGACATTTGTAAATCGATTCCAAAGTGTTCTGAAACGGCTTTTGGTTCAAAGAAACATGGGATCAAAAACTAATAATTCGTTGAGGCACATTTTTGCCGTAGGGAAGTGTATACAGGGTGAGATGAAAAACCAACTTCAGACTGCTGCCATTTCTAAGCCACTCGTCCGACAGCTGTTAAAATTATTCCAGTGACAGCTCATTATATTGTTTACAAGCGTACAAAAGGATTTTGGTGAGAAGTTTCCAGAAAAAAAGTTATTCGTGGTGGAATTCAAGCGTGATAGTGTGATTTCTTTATATTTGGCTGGAAAATCACAAGTGGCTTTCATTAGAGCACTCCAGCATTTAAATGTGAATAAATCTTTTGTGTCTCGTACCATCGCTCGTTACCGTGATACTGGTCAAGGATGTGGACTGAAGAAACAGTAACATCAGCAGAAATGTTCGAAAAGTAAAGAAGCGACTTGACCGTAACACGCGTCACAGTGGCCGAAAAATGGCTCGTTAGCTGAACATATCGCAATATTCCATTTTGCAAATATTGAAAAATGAACTCGGGGTAAAGCCATGGAAATTCCAAAAATTGTAAGAACTTACACCGCAACCGAAAGAAAATAGACTTAAAAGAGCTAAAGAGTTGCTTCGCTTGGCCGAATGTGGTGAACTGCCCAATTTGGTTTTCTCCGATGAGAAAACATTCGTTGTCCGACAGTTTGTAAACAAACAAAATGATCGTGTTTACTTGCCAAAGTGGTCAGCTGAAAATGAGCATCTTCGGTTGACCATCAGAACTCAAGCACCTCCATGGTGATGGCGTGGGCCGCCATAACAGCCGATGGTCGCTCTTCGCTCGTATTAATCGACCGTGGCAGCAGAATAAAAGCCGAATATTATCGCGAAAATATTCTGGAGGGTGTATTAAAGCCTTGGGCACGCAAACATTTTGGCCGCAGACCTTGGACATTCCAACAGGACTCAGCACCATCGCACTCAGCGCGCACCACCAGAGAATGGTTAGAAAATGAGGTTTCTCGCTTCATTTCCAGCCCACAATGGCCACCAAAATCACCGGATACCAATCCGTTGGACTATTGTGTCTGGTGTATTTTGGAAAGCAAGATGGCACTAAAAAATACCAAAGTGTCGATCACCTCAAGCAAGCGCTTCGCCGGGAATGGACCAAAATACCGCAGAGCAACATTCAAGCAGTGTGTGACGGTTGTTTGAAGGCCATAATTAGTGCCGAAGGTGACCAATTCGAACAAATTAAAACTTATTCTAAAGTTTGATGCTATCTCCGACATTTTTTTGCTTTCATTCAATAAAATTTAACAAAAAAAGTAAAAATGATGGCGTTTGACATTGTCAGCCATAAGGCTGAGCATATAAACATTGAACTACCCTGCACATTTTTTGGGAAGCAGTTTTTTTTTTCAAATCAGATCTAGGCAATAGCAAATAAGTGGCAATTCAAAGTATTCAGAAAAAAAATATTTGTCACATTCGAAGAACCTGAAACCTGGTACCAGGAGGAATAAGCCGATATTCCCTATCTTCCGACTTGATTTAAGTTTGGAAGAAATAATGCGATGTGTACAATTTAGATGAAATCGTTTACTACCTTCGAGATTTATCAGCCAGCCAGACAAAAAACAGGGGCCTAAAACCAATATTCCGATGAGACAAACAAATTAACCAAACTGAAACTTTTACGCCCCAGTTAAACATTTCCGATGCTATTAAAAAGCGTATTTAAAATTAAAACATCTTTCTTAACATAAGAAATATACATATCTTTAAATTTATTTTTTTATTCCAGATTATGGAGAATTGTAGTACATGCTCAGATTTCCGTATGATGACAATTGAAAACTATCTACATATTTGTTGAAAATATGGCAGGCACGCCCTCCCCGCCTACAGCGATAATTAAATCTTTTGCAATCATCCCGTACTCTCAATCCTAAAATTCCACTAGGAAGGAATGCAATACGACAGAGACCAACTATGTCGATTAAGTTGTTAAGAAATTTGTTTATTAAAATTTATATTCTTTAAATGTATATATTTTTTACAAAGAATATTTAATAAAATTTAAATGAATTTACTAAAAATATTGTTTGTTTTTATTTACGGATCCAAAAAAACGGTAAGTATATGCACCAAAGGCACTATGTTGCGACATATGATGAATTCACAAATTTTCTTTCATCTGGTTTTGTGTAAATGTGCAAATTTCACAAAAATACCAGGCGCCCAGAAAATAATAGAAAGTAGCCCGCCAAAAAAATTAGAAAAAATTTGCATCTGGCAACGCCGTACTAAGAAATTACAAAAATTGTAGCATACTTTTAGGCGCTCGATTTTTTGGCAGGTGGGGTATTGCCAGATCAAAAAATTTCAAAATTTTATTTTTTTTTTGGCGTGCAACTTGCTATTTTATTCTGGGCGCCTGGTATTTTATGAAATTTTGCCCAAAAATGCACAAAATTTTTGGGATTTTTTTTAATTCATTGGAGGGACCAGGATGGGAATGTGAAGAAATATTACTAAGAAACTAATATTGATAACCCCCCACTAACTAGCAGGTATTTTGAACCTCCATATATAAATGAAGAAACATTTTTAGTATTTGTTTTTAAATCTTTTTTTTAATTTCAAAAAACAATATATAAAAACAATATATAAAGAAAAATTTAACTAACTACATACACATTTTCTTACTTAGTATTTATTACTTAATACAACAGTGTAGAACAGGAAGTCGGGATTAAAGTTTGGAGTAGGCACTTTCTTTCGGAAATTGCTCAAGCATACCAGGCATCCAGAACAGGTAGTTAGAAAAATAAACAAATGTGCAAACTGTAGGCTTTCAGCTCCGTAACATGTATCAGGATTGAAATTCGGAACACGATTTTGGGGTTCACATCTTAAACATGAAATTTTGAAAGCTGAATTCTATCAAAAGTAAATTTATAAAAAATAGGAATCATGATCGGCTCTAGTAATATTTAAAGAAATACTCTAAAAAAGCGAGGTCTGCTTTCATTTTCCTCGAAAATGTTACTTGAAGGAATATTTAAAAAAAATCTTCCCCAATGGAAATGTTTAAAAAATTAACCATTTAAGAAACAATTAGAAAAAATTAAGCCTGAAGGAATATTTTAGAACAATCAACACATTAAGAAATGATTTTATGGAAACTACACCCGCTTGGAAAGTGGTACTACTGTGTACTAAATTTGGTACAATTTGAATTGTGGGTGAACGATAGAGTTGGAATCCTGCAACTTGGTCTTAGGATCATTGTGGGGGCTTAGGATTGGGGTATGTAGAAAGATTTGGAAAATGGTACTACTGTGTACTAAATTTTGTACAATTTGAATTGTGGGTGAGCCGATAGAGTTGGAATCCTGAAACTTGGGGTTAGGATCACTGTGGAGGTGTAGGTTTGGGTTAAGTAAGAAGTTTTGGAAAGTGGTACTACTGTGTACTAAATTTTGTACAATTTGAATGGTAGGTGAACCGATAGTGTTGGAATCCTGCAATTTGAATTTGGGACCATTATAGATTTGTAGGATCGGGGTATGCGGGAAGTTTTGTTGGATGGTTGAGGAGGGTACTAAATGGAACTAAATTTGGTAAAATTAGGATTTGGGTGAACCTTTAAAGCTCGAATTATGCAATTTGGTACTAAATGGTACTCAAATTTAATTGATGGTCGATATTAAAGTGTGGATTGTTTAATTTGTCTGACATATGCAGCTTTCAGGGAAAATAAAATAATATGTTAATACAAGTTTAAATAGTTCCCACATTCACTTACGAAGTAGCAGGTATATGCTAGTATATAATAAAATACATCTTTCGAATTCTCTCGAACTATTTGTGCAATATTTATAAAAATCGCTTTTTGCTTTTGAATTCAACGATGTTCCCAATTACACCTACTGTTCAGCGCTGCTCACCTATTCCCCTAAAGTGAAAAATCACACAAAAAATCGGTCTTATAAAAATGGAAATAACCATTGTTACGTTACATTAAAATTTGTGTATAAAAATAATCACCCCTATCAATTTAAAAATCGGACTACATACAGATTGTGTTTGACCTAAAAGTATGCTATAATTTTCCTTACAAACCAGCAGCCATTGTGAAAGCAATTTTTGTGTGGTTTTTCACTTTCAGGTAATAGGCGCTCAGCACCGAAGAGTATGTATATTTTGGAACATCGTTGAATTAAAATTCATATAACTCGGCGACTACTTAACCGATTTTAATAAATTTTGCAGCAATGGTTAGAGGGAATTCTAAAGCTTTATCCCGTATTGTATATAAACTTATGTTATATTAGAGAAAATTAGAATTTTGTAAAGTTCAAAGATATTTTCAATATCGACTATATTTTTTTGTTAAATGCTCAGGGTGACTCATGATAAATGGGCAGACTTCAAAAAGTAGATAAATGCCAGGGAATATTTATCGATAAGCAGGGATTCATTATAGGCGAGTTGAAGGTCTACATATACGAATTTAAGCATAAGGATTCTTTATAGAAGATCTGAAGATCCTGGAGTCTGTATAGAATGAAGCCGTAGAATGAAACTGGATTTTCCCCTAAGAGGTGATATCTTCGAAAATGTTTAACCTCTACCTTTTTGGAATTCCAAACCGTACGGCATTAAGAGCATTACGTAGGCAGAAAGTTCTTCGATCATAATGTCTGGACCAAAACTGACGATATTTACTAGCATTGTTTTTCCTATAAGAAAAATATGCAGAGGTAGCATGGACAGCGGGAATACGGCTATCTTTGAATGTGCAGGTTATAATTATCCCAAGGTTCTGGCAGTCACCTTCGATAGCTTATATTTTGCGTTAAGATCAGGAGGAGGTGCATGGTTCTCAAGTCATTAACCGGTAGGACTTGGGGGCTAGCTATTTTGCGTTAAGATCAGGAGCTGGTGCATGGTTCTGAAGTCACTAACCGGTAGGACTTGGGGGTTAGCTAATGAAAACCCCTTGTTGACAAGCTACCAATAATGCGATATTTCCGTCTGTACGGATTCGACCAAATTATTAATTTAGTAACCTCTCCAATATTCAATTTTTTCTGGTACAGGTTTTGTATTATGTTTTTGTGCATATGTTTGTAACATGCAAAAATAATCGAGATAGACCCATGGCTCCTTTTGAGAATATGCATATAATCACTTTATGAGTCGATTTAAGCACGAAATTTGGCAAGGTCATCCGCTAAGGTAAGTATAACAAAACGCCAAATTACCCCCTCAAGGCTGTAATAGGGTTCTCCTGACGTGTTTTCTGCAAAATAGTTTTTTTTTTTGTTTATGCCGGTCTTGCAGCAAATGATCGATATCGATTATGGATAGACAATCAGTGCCCTGGCATTTCAGAAAGGATTTTCATGATCTAACGAAACAAGTCAGAGGCCTAAAGAGTCTAATAAGTAGAATCGATTTGTATTCTCACATATTCAGTTGAGGAAACATTTCAGGAATACAGAGTGAATATAGTCCTCTGAGAACACCCGACACAAACCGGAGTGATTTTGGAACATTTAAGATCTGGATGGTGTAGCAGCCTTTACTCATAAAATTTCAATTTTCGTGTGGTATTTCATTTTCAGGTAACAGCACCGAAGAGCAGGTGTATTTCGGAACATCGTTGAATTTAAATGCAAATAACTTAGCGTGTACTTAACCGATTTTCAAAAATTTTGCAGAAATGGTTAGAGGGATTTCTAAAGATGTATTCCATATTGTCAATGTGAAAGTTGAAATATATTTAAAATATTTGTATACCTTCGACCTTATGGCGAATGAGGGTATGTACACTTTAATGCGGCAAAAATGTGCCTCATCGAAATATTGGTTTTAGGCCACATATTTCTTTGGACCAAATCTAGATATATCTGATATTCCTATATTAGCTATTTCGTGGAAGGCCGGCCTAACCTCTTTTGAAGCAAGTAGGAAAAAATAACGCCAATTTCGTTATGACTCTCATAAAATTGGCTTCAATTTTTGTTAGTTTTTGGCGTAAAGGAACGCTTTTCTAGTACAATTTCAAAGGTAGCTCATTATAGTACTACTTTGCACCTTTGGGAACCCAACAATTCATTAAAAACTCATAAAAATTGTTGTCTAAACGAACAAGGGTATTTGCTTTTTAATTCCGAAAAGAATACCCATTTTCTTCATTTCAAAATGTTTCAAGATTCATTAATGATTATAAAATCCAATTGTATGGCAAAGCGGAAACCCATACTAATCTATTTATTAGAGAAAGGATTTCAAATTCAGGGACAGCGTAAGGTAAAATTTACCCCGGAATTGGCTGCTGAATTTTTACAGGATATTAGTGAAGAACCGGAATTTATGTTTCAAGTTATATTACTATCCAAAGGAACGTCAGAAGCATTTATATTGGCCAAAGAAAATGCTGTTGAAGATTTACTCAATTCCATGGTGTGTTATTTGTAAGTAAAGCGAACAAATTTTAGATATCGATATTTTAACCCAAATTTCGTTTCAGTGGCAATTCCGTGGAAATGGAGAAAAATGTTTATGTAACCAAATGCTTGGGAAAAGTGCGCAAGGATATACGTTTTATATTTCCCAATTGTAAGGATTTCATATAGCTCCTGTTCCATAAGAAAAATTTGTTTGCAACTTCTTTTCTTTCAGATATTTTTGAGCCCATTGCCTATCCCGATTTGATGGAATTTTCTCAAAATAACCCCTTTGTCGAGTCACTAATATCAGGAGTTTATGATATTGCCACCCAACCCGAAATGGATCCACACAAAAGTTGGAAAGAAAAATTAGCCGATTGGCTCATACTATCGAACAGGGATTTACCTCAGGTATCGAATCAATGTTCTTGGAATCCTTCAGTAAATCTTTGCGAAGTTGGACAGCAAACAAAGATTACGTCGTTCAAACATGATTGTAAGATAGACCGAAATGTTTCGAAATCTTCCGCCATGGGTTTTAGTACCGATGGAAATTCTCTGAATATTACAACATCGTCGTGTGTTTCCTGCTCCGATTTGAATAGTAGTGCTGATGAATGCATTCAGCAATCTAGATCCTTAAATGAAATGATCAAAATGAAAACAGCTCCTTTGTTAGTGCCAAGTAAGTCCTCTTCAGCCACTATCCGAATCGATGAAATGGAAATCGAAGAAGAGAAGAACTTCGTGGAGATCATTGAGGAAGAGGAGAATTCATTGGATGAAATTCCCATAGCTATGCCAGGTGATCTGAGTGATGCAAATAAATCCAAATCTCTATTGTCGATCAAAGGCTCTGAAGAGAATTATGTAACTTCTTCCAAGATACCCAGTAAGGAGGGTGCAGGTGATGGTGGCAGTTTACTGATTGAAAATAAATCACTAACAATAGATGAAACCCCTCCTGATACCCAGGTAATGTCTGTCACTGACAAGGACATGCTAGAACAATTAGAGCTGCCAGCAAATGAGACTCCTCAAAAAGAGTCATTGGAGGATTTAGCAGCACCACCAGAAGCACTAAATATCCACGAAGAGAATGAAGCTGAAAATGCTGATGAAATACCGCCAGAAGAATCAATCGAGATTTCACCTACCCAACCGGAAAGTGTACATCAAAATGATAATGAAAATGTTGAGAAGATTGAGGTGCCGGTCGCATAATAATGTTTTAGAAATAAAATTTAAATCTTTCTCAGCGATCTTTGAAAAGGAGATGTAGTATATTTCTTTTAAGTTCTGCAACCCCACTAGACAATTTGTTGCTATAGCAATTTTTACTGTTATGTATCTATCAGCTTGATCTGGTTCTGTTTCAAACTTCAGATACATAACGGCTGCGATCTGTATACATTGTGTGCATTATAAAAATGGGGTTAGGTGGGGAGATTTGGTTGGACGTGTGCTGTGGAGCTGTGTGAGGCGGCTACACCATCCACATCTCAAAAGTGAAAAAACTCTGGTTTGTCTCGATAGTTGCTTCAAGGTCGTGCCATTTAAACCTTTGCCAATTGGCGTCCAATACGAATTGAGGCGGCTACACCATCCACAACGATTTTGCAGAAAACACGTCAGGAGACACCCTTTTACAGCCTTTGGAAGGTAATTTGGCATTGTGTTATACTGACGGACGTATTCCGCATATACGGAAATATCGCAGTATTGGTGGCTTATCAACAAGGTTTTTCATCAGCTCCCCTCAAGTACTGCCGATTAGTGACTTGAGAACCATGCACCTGATCTTAACGCAAAATAACTGTACGGGTGACAAATATAAGCTATCGAAGGCGACCTGCTAGAACCTTGGGATAATTATATCTTACACATTCAAAGATAGCCGTCCATATTACCTATATATTTTTTGTATAGAAAAACAAGAAAAAGAATGCTAGTAAATATCGCCAGTTTTTGGTGCAAACGTTATAATCAAACAATCTTCTGCCTAAGTAATGCTCTTTATGCCGTGGTTTGGAATACCAAAAAGGTAGAGGTTAAACATTTTCGTAGATATACACCCTCCTTTGGGGAACTTCCAGTTTCAATCTACGGCTTCAGTCTATACAGACCAGGAGCTTCAGATCTTCTATAAAGAATCCCTATCCCTATCCTAGAATGCGTGACCTTCAGCTCGTCTATAATGACTCCCTGAGCTTCAACACGCCTATAACGAATCCCTGCTTGTCGATAAATATCTAGTTTTTAAAGTCACCCTGAGCATAAAAAAACCAAAAAAATCATCGATATTGAAAATATCGTTGAACTTTCATATAATGCTAATTTTCTCTTATATAACATATGTGTATGTACGTATTGTATTGTCAATAGAATTCCCTCGAATCATTTTTGCAACATTTTTGAAAATCGGTTAAGTACTTGCTGAGTTATTTGCATTTGAATTCAACAATGATCGGAAATACACCTACACAGTACTGGGCGCCTGTTACCTGAAAATGAAAAACCATACAAAAAATGATTTTTTAAAAGTGGCAATTTTTTCTTTCATAATGGCTGCGGGTTTGTAAAGAAAATTATAGCATACTTTTAGGTCAAATACAGACTCTGTATATAGTCCGATTTTTTAATTGATAGGTGATTATTTTTATACACAAATGTTAATGCAACGTAACTCTACATACATACACATTAGCGCCGTTATGAATAAATTTTATTTCCGTTTTTATAAGACAGCTCCTGAAAAGAACGCCTTTTTGCATTTTAGCTAATGATATGTTATATAGAAGAAAACATTAAAGTTCAAAGATATTTTCAATATCGATTTTTTTTGTTTTTCGACGAGCAGAGGGTCAGGGTCAGCTAGTCTTTTTGGACGAAGCGAATCTCAAGGGGTCTTTTAACGAGTTGTAGCACAGTAAGTCTTTGCAAACCATCTAAAGCGCAGAGAGTCTTTGCACACCGTCTGAAGCTCAAAAAACTTTAGACAAATTGAAATTCTAAAGTTTTATACCATATTGAAAATAAATATTGACACCTATTAGTCCCATTTTATCCTCCAAGTGGCAGAAATGTATGATGAACGATAAATAATTGTAAAATATTTGTTGTGTTTTAAATTTATTTTTCAAAATAAAATCTTAACATACTAAAACGATTCATATTAGCCAACTAAAAATGTAATATCATTGAAAAAAAGAAATAAAACAAAAAACGAGAAAAATGAAAAATAAAAAAGATTTATACATATGATTTATCGATATTTTACTATAATAAAAAAATAAGTAGATAGAATATATATGTATATAGAAGAAAAGATATAGAATAAAAAATATGTTTTTTTTTTAATGTTAGAGATATATAAAGATCTTCGTTTCAATTTCTATATTTTTATTTCTTTCGATTTTTTTATTAATACAAATAAAATAGATTTTTTATACATGTATATGCCGCCTTAAAGCATGCTGTTGTTTTGAGGGGGGTTTGTTTTTTTATTATTTAGACAAGGAGTAAAATGTACAAAAACAAAATAAACGCGCATCACAATTTTTTATTAAGAATTCACCCACACTTTTTTGTCTATCCATCATACCAAATAACTTGCAAAGATTTGGTTATTTTTATTATTATAGAAGGATTAATAATTATTTATTAGATTTGCCAGATAATTTAACCTAAGGAGAAAGAAGAGATACACAAGGTTAATAGGGAGTAGATAGTCGAGTAGATAAAAGAAATTTATTATTTTCACATACCGGAAATTCTGGCAAAAGCCAATGAAGATCTTTCATGATTATAGCATTTGCCAATTTGGGAACAAATGCTGGATTCATCAATAACTATGCTCTCGGACAAATGCATAATGCTCTTGCCATAAACTTGAATCATTTCAGAGCACTGAAAAACAAAATAAAAGGTAATAAGAAAATATCATATACATAATTTTCAATAAACTTACAATCTTATAATATTTAGCTGGTACATTTTCACAGGCAAGTTCAATCAAATCGTTGACATTAATGGTATCATGTTCGGTATGCTTTCTCAAATAGGGCAAAAGTGAAGAAGATGCTCCATGGCAAACACCGCACTCAATGACTTCATCTAAAGGGAAATAAGAACATAGAACTGTATTTCCTATTCCAAAAAGAAGGAAAATCCCAATTTTTCTTTTTGTCCTTACCATTAACAACTTCATCCAAGCCAGCAAAACACAACTGCATACGTTGGCATATCTCTTTGGGTGGCACACTACCAATCAGCGAAATAATCGCATTGGCATATTGCTCAACAAACTTATCACAGCTCTTGGCCACGGTCTTGGGCATACGATTGCATATAGTTTCAATGGCACGCTTAATATCATCCTGTTCGGTTTTATTTTTCAAATCGTTTTCAAGCTTTGTCATAACAAATTCACACAACACACAGGTGGGTGGCTCTTGTACGGTCATCGATTCATCTAAGCCGCTATAACGGCCATTTTTAGGCGAAACAACATTTTCCTGTGGCATTGCAATGACATCGTATTTCAAGGCTTCATCGATTTCCACTGGAATATTTGAAGATTTTAATTTCTATTTTATGAAGAAGTGTTTTTTTTTTCGATTTACTTACAATCTTCCTGTTCGCTGAAGAGACACAAACCCAATTCGGCACAAATCAATTTCGGGTCCATTTCCTTCAATAAAAATTCAGCGATTTTGTCACCATATTTATCAACATATTTGTGGCATTTTGGTCGCAAATTGGCGCGCATTTTTTCACATGATTTTTCCAAAGCCTTTTTGATGTCATCCTGAAATAAATTAAAAAAAATAATAAATTTTTATTGGAAGACTTAACACAACTTATTATAGAATATATGAATGGTGGCAAAATAAGGAATAATAATATTAAAATAATAACAAAGATAAATATATGAAACAACAACAGTTAGGATGATACAACAATAACAACTAAGTTTAGCGAAAACGAACAACTGGAGTACCAATGTGATTATCTTGAACCTGACATAAATTTAATTTGGCACTACTATGCCCTGAATTTAATTTAAAATTTAAATTTGTGTCGGTCCACCACTATCAGATAAAACAATTACTTGGTAGCATTTATAGAACAAAAAACTTCGGTCTGAGAAACAAGTAGAATCATCGACATATCTCTGACAGTTCAGACCTGCTAAATAAACATATTCTCCTTTTGTATCGTTGAAGATCCATCCTGATACGTTTGGGTGGGGAAATTCGAACAATAATTAGGATGATTCCCTCTAAAGGTACTGCTATGCTGCTGTAAAGGAAGGGTATTTATGAGGGAGTTCTATCCACCAAAAAATGTTAAGGGTGATTCTTTCTGAAGCACCCTTATGTATTGTTACCGCCCGATTATATTTATTTTGTAAGCCCTGAACTCATTTTTCCTACCGAAAATGATGTACTGTCCCTCAAAGATAATCATTAAAAAATCCACGCCTTTGACATTGATATAGTCTCAAAGATATTCTTTAAAAATCCACGCCTTTGACATTGATAGACTCTCAAAGATATTCTTTAAAAAATCCACGCCTTTGACATTGATAGACTCTCAAAGATATTCTTTAAAAAATCCACGCCTTTGACATTGATAGACCCTCAAAGATATTCATTAAAAAATCCACGCCTTTGACATTGATAGACCCTCAAAGATATTCATTAAAATATCCACGCCTTTGACATTGATAGACCCTCAAAGATATTCATTAAAAAATCCACGCCTTTAACATTGATAGACCCTCAAAGATATTCATTAAAAAATCTACGCCTTTGACATTGATAGACCCTCAAAGATATTCATTAAAAACTCCACGCCTTTGACATTGATAGATCCTCAAAGATATTCTTTAAAAAATCCACGCCTTTGACATTGATATACTTATTTCTGAAGCGATACTGCAATACTGACGTAAGGGAAGAATCCTCATAACCTCATGTAGATGGTCCACATAGGTGTTATGAGGAGGGATACTGTTGCAAAAGTATTTCGGGAACAAAAAGTAAAATCTGTACATATCACATTGTCTGGCTTTAAAAGCGGAACTACCCTTGCTATTGTCCAGGCTTATGGAACGATGTGGGTGACTATCGACAAATAAGAAATTTTAGTCATATTCCAAAATCCCGGTTTCAGCATTACCATACTTACTTCGGGGCTCAACGTTTTAGTTGATTTTGTGCTGCATTAATCAACCATTGTAAACTGTGGTGGCTCTATTGTATATTCTATTCGCTATGCCACTTTTGGGAGATGATCGAAATAATATCGATTAAAATAAATGCGCATTTATTCACAACAGTCACAATTTCGTCGTTAAATTTGTCCTATCATCCTTCTTACCAGGGTTCGAGAGGGGCTTAACCATTGCTCACTTTTTTATCACACCAGTCCTATCATCTTAATACCTGAGTTCGAGAGTGACATAACCATTGCCCACATTTTACTCATGCTGAAGACAATTATGGGAAAGTGCTCTGATCCAGGTGAAATGACTTGCTGCTAGTAAAAGTTATTTATCATATGGTATGACACGAAGGTTATATTTGGGGAGCTGTGACACTCTCTCATTATTCTGGTGGGGGAATCCTGATTAAACGTGCCATTATTTAATTTGTTATTTGAGACTGAATAGCTTTGAAATTTTACTTTTATGGAAGAAATAGCTAAGGATCGAGCTAAACCATATAGCTGACATGGGAAATAATTTAAAACTTTCAATTTACCTTGGACATAATAATACCTTTGGTAAACTATTCAAAAACAAACAGTTTAATTTAATGAAAAATAAAAACAAATCAATAAAAAATTATCCATACCTTTGTGGTGTTTTTGTTGATACGCTTCTCGGCAATTTTAACCATTTCCTCGCACAACAAACAATTGGGGGTAATACCTTCGACATGCTGTTGGAAAACAATTTCAACGGGCATTTCATCGTGAGAAATTATTTCGTTAAAGGCTATAGAAGGAGGAAAATCGTTTAGAAACCATTGTTTTTTTTTTCGAAATACGAAAACAAAATTCTTACACATATCATTATCGATTTCTTGGCTGGAGCTATCATCTTCAACGCTGATACCCAATTCGTTCAAATAGTTGTTTGTCTTTGGACACAATTTCAAAGCAACACAGATCTCATTGGCCTTAAAGTCACTAATAAACATATCAATCAATTCCGAAGAATAGGTATCGACAAAATCGACACATTCGTTTTGTAGTTTTTGTGGCAAGTGTGTGCACAAATTATCCAATACATTTTTAATGTTTTTCTGCAAACAACAAAAGGAAAACAATTAATTTGATTACCAAAATAAATTTTAAAATATATTTCATTACCTTCGACTTGTCACCCTTGATCTTCTCCTGGGCTTGTTCAACAGCAAACAGGCAAAGAGGACATGTTGGCTTATCCTGTTCATCGGTGGCCTTGGGTGAAAACACTTCCATATCCTTGTGGTTTTCATGATGTTTGGGGCATATTTGCAATTTGGGACAAATTTCAACAGGATTTAGTCCTTGAATCAATAGAGCCACAACAGCATCACCATACATATCAACGAAATCATCACATTTGCCACGAACACTGGCAGGGAATTTGTGACAGATATTCTTGACGGTATGTTTAATTTGATCTTCGGTGGAGGGTGTGGCCAATGTCTCTTGAATGAAGTGCAATAGATATTCACAAAGGGTACATAATTCACCGTTGTTGACCAGCTGGAAGGGATTGGCGGCACCCATCAAATGATCAATTGGCAAGGTCATATCTTTAAGTTCTTCCTGGGTGAATTTAGGTTCATGGGCACCCAACTTCTTGCGAATGGTTATTTTTACCTCTGCTGGCGGTATGGCGGGCAACATTGGCATTATATCGCTCTTGTACATGGCATCTGATCCCTTGGGGCATACACCAATCAAGAAGCAGGCACCATTGGCATCCAAATTATCAACCAACGATTTGTAGATTACACTGTAGTATTGATCAACAATACTTAAACATTCGGCCTTGAAACCTTTAGTTTGATTGCATAGACCTTCCATGACCTGTTTGAATTCTTCCATTGTGGTATTGGCCACCAAGAGATCACGCAAATGATGTACCAATTGTTGACACAATTCACATGGAATATCATCATTACCGGGAGCCATTAAATCAATGGGTTCTTCTTCTTTGGGATCTTCGGGATGTTGATGGTACTTGGCAGCACATACACCCGAGATGTGACAAACACCAGCTGGTTCAAGATTGTCTTTGATGTGATCATATATATCATTGAAATAGGTCAACACAATGTTGGCACAAGCATCCGAGAATGAAGACATTTCACCGCACAGATGTAACATATTTTCCAAGATATCATCACGATTGCTGGATTGGAATTTATTGGTCAACAGAGTGGCCATATTGAAACAATTGCCACAAGTCAATGATGCCTTTTTAGGTGTTTCAGGAGCTGTAGTTATCATTTTTGTTACAGCAGCTTCTTCACTGGATGTATCTTCTTCGCTTTCACGTAATGTTCCATCAAGGGAAGCGGTGTAATATTTGTGTAGAAGTTGATCAATTTCGGCATTATTACAGAGGCCAGCCACCGAACAGACTTGCTGTAAATGGGAGAGCAAAAGAGAAGAATTAAAATATATAGAAGTTATAGATAAGTGGAAATTAGTGAGAATTTCTAACACATAAATATAATCCCTTTAGGTGTTCCTATAAACAATAGAAGTCCTTTTATAGACAATGCAAGTCCTTCAAGTCTTCTATAGACAATACAAGTCCAAGTCTTCTATGGACAATAGAAACCCTTCAGGTCTTTAGACAATATAATAAGCCCTTCAGGTATTCTATAGACAATAGAAGACCTTCAGGCCTCTAAGGAACTCTACAGGTCTCTTATAGGCAATAGAAGGCCTACAGGTCTTCTATAGAAAATAGAAGCCTTCAGGCCTTCTTTAGACAATAGAAGCCTTCAGACCTTCTTTAGACAATAGAAGACCTTTATGTCTTCTATAGACAATAGAAGGCCTTTATGTCTTCTATAGACAATAGAAGGTCTTTAAGTTTTCTAAAGACAATAGAAGGCCTTCAGGTCATCTATGGGCAATAGAAGCCCCTTCAGGTCTTCTATAGACAATATAGGCCTATCAAATATTTTATAGCAGTTCAGGTCATCTAAAGACAATAGGAGCCCTTAAGGTCCATCAGAAGTCCCTTCAGCGTTTCTATATAAAAAACTAAAGACCTTTCGGGCCGTCAATAGATAATAGAAGCGCTGTTAGGTGTCCTATAGAGAAATTTCCAAATAAGTATTTGACGAGAATGACTCAAGGTGGTATCAAGTACATTTGCTTTCGAGTTTACATTACATATAAAATGTTTCCAAATTACTCAAAACTTACATCTGGATTCATTTGTGATGATAGAGCCTCAACCAATTCGGGTATAAAATCATCGGCCAATTTGCAACATTCCTTCTTAACAATTTTAATGGGTATCAAATTGCAGGAGCCCTCAAAGACTTCCTTTAATTCTTCCATGGTTTCATTGCTACGCAATTGATCGCGTGCCTGTGTCACCATATCCTTACAGATCTGGCAAATGGAATCATTGTCAACGGGAACCTGATGACTCTCCCAAACCGTTTGAATGCAATGACGTACAGCATTACAACCTTTAGCATTGCTGAAAAAATAGACAAAGAAAGAATGAAAATTATTAATTAAATGTGTTTGTTTTTAAAAATAGCAACAAAAAACAAAAAAACAAGTTTAATTTATAATAAATATTCGTTGAAACGATAAGGCAGGCTGAGCTGTTAAAACTTGTAAAATGCAAGTACACATATTAAGACTTGAACGAATGGTGAGATAAGATAAAGATAGATGGACTTTCGTTGTGGTATTTTTTTTTTTTTTGTGTGTTTGATGATGCGGTAAATACTATTTCGGAGGGGCACCTGTTTAGGGTTCCAGGGACAGTGCGCTCTCGATACGAGTTGAGAACATTGCTGTATCCGGACCTTAGTTTTGCCAGAATTGAACGGAAGAAGCCTCTCACTCTCCGAAATTGCAGGATGATGTTGTTGTAGGACCTTATTGCATCTGTAGCCATTTATGGCTTCGGAGACCGTCACGGATTGAGGCACGGATTTCATAGCGTTCGCTATCGACAATCTGTTGAAGTCCGATGGAATGACGTATTGAATGCCATCACGATAGCGCCAAAGTCCTGGCGGATGTGTCGCGGAGGTGGATCTGCCATCACTGTGTAATGGTTAGGATGACACGGCATAGAGCATGCCAGCAGGAACTGTCTAGTGAACAACACATGTTGCTTGACAGACAGCATCCTGGTCTCCTCATGGAGGTGGGTGATCGACGCTCGTCATCTGGACACAGCCGGTTGCAAATATCTCCATTGTGTGTCGCTAAGAAAAGAAGTCCAGACTGGGGCACCATAATTCAGGATGGAACGACCTATGGCCTTATATGTCGTTATATGTTATATGTCTTTATCCTCGCCCCAGGCGGTGTATGGAGATTTACCACTCATTACTAAAAATGTCAAATAATAATCTATTAAGGAATACCTATTTTCAAATGAAATGCCACAATTGAAAACACATCCCAGCAAATTGAATTTAAATCCAAATTATCCATTTCTTTTAATATTAAAAATACCGGCTTTTCAAGTCTTTGCATCCAGCTTCCATATTAATTTCAGTTTTGATAACTGAGGAATTTATGTGAACTCAGTGATATAACCGACTGAGGCATATTTTTTGTTCCTGCTGAAAATTAATATTCAGCATTTCACATGAAAATGAAAGCGTATCCACACACTACACTCCAGTACACAACATAATATTTTCAATGTGATAAAAATGAATCACAAACAATATTGTACATACACACTCTCAAACGTAATATCGAACAAATGCCATTTACGATAAAATTACATGCCAAACAGAGTTCAACTGTAATGAGCCTGCATTTGAAATAAACAATAATGACAAATCCATTGAACGGGAGTGAACAAAGTGTGCTATAAAGACTATAGGAGGGCAAAAATTCACTGGAATAACTCATGGACATGATAAGCAGGGGTTTTGGGTGCAACTATTTAAAAAAATAAACAAAAAATGAAAACAATGAAAGAACAAAAAAACCGCAAACAATGCACGAACGAAAAATACTTTTAAATTCTACCCCAAACAAATATTTTTTTTATAAATTTTTTGTGCAATCCCACAAAAAAAAAAATATATTTCAGTATTCTCTTTAAATAAAATCAAGGGACAGGGGTAGGGGGAGAGAACACTCAAGTCGAAATTCAATAACCCAAAACCGCTTACAATCATGAATAAAACGCATATTAATGACTTACAAAACCATGGCTATTTTGTAAATAGTTTCATGTGATACAAGTTTTAAATTTCCTTAAGGGAACCCCCCCATTCTCAATTTTTTATTTTTAAGATTTTAAATGGGCTGGTAAATGAATACCAATGCTTGTTAAGGTTTGTAACTTTGCACATATATATTTGAGAATTTAAAAAGGAAGAAAAATAATTTACAAAAAAATTTTGTTGTTGTTTTGTTGTTGTTTTTTGTGATCAAAGAAAAGTCCTTATTTTTGATGGCGGGCATGATAACTCCTCACTGGAACATCGGAATCCGAAAATTCCAACGGTGTTGGAAAGAGTACATGTCTGGCTCTCGTATGAACTAGGATTATTGACCTCGCTCTAAAATTAACAAAATGGCGGACCTTTGAAAAAATATTTTTGGAAAATCGCCTATTTTTTACCAAAAACCAAGCTAAAAAATAAGGAAGATCTTCACCGATTGGCTTTATCCTAGTTCATACGAGAGCTATACACTCCCAGAGAAACGATGCAAAATTTGGAACCGATTGGATTATTAGTTTTTGAGTTATCGTGCCCGCCATTCGCAAAAAAATGTTTAGAGAAAAACGCGTTTAAAGTTTGAGAAACCCTTTAGCCGTCACTTGATGCTGACACACTAAATCGGATATATCTTCAACAGTTCTTGAGATTTTCACTTGAAATTTCGTAGAGACATTCTTTAATCAGTGTAGATTCGAATTATATCAACAAAAATTTTGACCCCGAGAATGGGGGGGGTCCCCTTAAATGGACTTTGTTTTAAAGTATTAAATTGTTGCCATTGCAATCACTTTCGGAATGTTTGGACATTGGATACAATAAACAATTACCAGCCTTTTTCCTTTCTTTTGCTTTTTAAATTTCCGATTTTGTTTTTTTTTTCCTTTTCAATGATAAATGAGTCCAGCGACTCTGCTAGAATATGTCTGCTCCCGGTTGAGACATATTCCAAATATATGAACTATATGATATATGCATATATTTGTAGTTTTATCGTGAGGAATCCATATATACATATGTAAGTTCTTATATTTGAATTGTTCCTTTTTGCAGAAATGTTATTGTCAACAAATATTTTGTGATAATGCAATCGCCGGCAAAGTTGCAACAAATAAAAAAGAAAATAATTTTATTTAAAGCTGATTGTTTCCTTTGTTTGTTTTTATTATTTTAAGATAGCTGAAGTTAATTCCAAAAAGGCTATTGTACGATTAGACATATTTTAGGGTATAAAAAAATAAATATTAACAAAGAATTTTTTGAAACTTTTGCGATAAAAAGGAGGTTGCATTTTGGGGAAAAATGAAAGTTTTAGATCATAGGTAAATTTCTCATTGCACCGCCTACGGGAAGCAAAGCTGAATGCTATTAGAATCGTCCAAGGTTGCGGATTGTAATTAATTTAATTAATTTGGCGTCCTGAATAACCCTGTCACAAAACAACAACAGTCCTAAACATTACTTCTAACTCCCCAATGACACGCCACAAATTCACTTCCTACTTTGTAGGCGGATACCGACGGAGCAGTTTTGATACCTATGCTCATGAACAAAAATTTCAGGCTTAGCTGTCAAGTCACGATACTTAACACAAGAACTGACTACATGGAGTAATTTATTAGTACCCTCAGTCCTAAACTTTACTTCTAACTCCCCAATGACATCGATCAATGCTAATTTTATTACAGACTATTTAAATAATCCTCCCAAACCCATCAAAGTCCCCCCTCAATTTAATTGAGGAAACTAGATACATATTTCGACTTCGCCCTTGACGGATGTGAATGACGTTGACTCAAGAAGAATCATTAAATGTGGTAGGAGAGAGTATCGATCTCGAAACCCTAATTCCATGACGGCAAGTAGAAAACCGATGCAAGAAGTCATTGAGTGAATGTTGGTGTCGATGATATTTATACTCCTCACCAAACTGTGGTACAGGGTATTATGTCTAAATGTATATGTTTGTAACAGGCAAAAGGGAACGAGATAGACCCAAGGTTACTTTTTATATAGTATCACTTCCTGAGTCGATTTATGCATGACCGCCCGTCTGTTCGTCTGTACATATAAAATTGTAAACAAAGTACAGGGCGCATTTAGGATGCGATTTGGATGAAATATGGCACAGCACAATTGTTTTGCACAAGGACGAACCCTATTGAAATTGGGAAAAATCGGTTCAGATTTAGCTATAGCTCCCATATATATTTTCGTTCGATTTAATGTAAATGGTGCACCAAATTCCCTATATATCTTTCGATTTGCACAAAATTTGACATTGCGTACTGAATTGAGTCTAGAATGATGAGTATTAAGTTTCGTGAAAATCGGCTCAGATTTACATATAGCTCCATGTATATTTTCGTCTGATTTAATGTAAATTGCCCCTCTTATCTTTCGATTTGCACGAAATTTGGCATAGCCTACGGAATTGAGTCTAGAATGATGTACCTCAGGCCCTATATATATTTTGATGTGCACTAAATTTGGCATAGCGTACTGAATTGAATCTAGAATGATGTGTGTTAAGTATTGTGAAAATCGGCTCAGATTTACATATAGCACCCATATATATTTTCGTCCTATTTAATGTAAATGGTGCACCACAGACCCTATATATCTTTCGATTTGCATGAAATTTGGCATAACGTACTGAATTGAGTCTATAATGAAGCCTTTATATCGATGCAAGGGCCTCAGGAGGCGGAAACTAATCAAAGAGCAACTTCTTCTTAATAAGGGTGTTCCCGATGACGGACGAGAGGAAATCATTGGCAATGTTTATCCTGATTGGTGTATCAGAGAAGTCGATCGACATCTGATGAACATTTTCCCAAACGCCGAAGTGGTTCGAAAGAACTTTCTGTTTGTTCAAGTCAACATGTTGAAGGTTCTAAGCTGGCTGCATGTATCAGTCGAAGAGATTATGTGCGGAACTGATGAAACACTGAAAACGGTATGACGATCTTCGAATGAGTGTGTGGATAATTTTCAATATCAAGGACACAACTGGAGTAGTAGCCTATCTAAACCTGCACAATAGTAGGGTGCGGAACTACATCTTACATTGATATCCTCAAAGACGAATATGGTAACTGATATAAGCTGCAAACCCTCTATAGTTTTCCACTCTTGAAAATGTAAGGCATGGAAATCTACATACGGTTTACGGATTCAATTACTGGAAATCTACATAAGGTTTACGGATTTGATTACTATTATTCCGATTGGGTCCAAACTTAAACACGTTATTCTTTATATGTACATTTGAGTTAAATTCACGAAAACCTCACAATATTTAAGATATAGCTTCGAAATTTTTCTAATATCACACAAATTACGTTATTCTATGTATACATTTCAGTTAAGATCACAACATTTGAGATATAGTTTCGAAAAACTTGCTAATATCACTACAGTAGATATCGGATATAAGAAACTCCAAAAATGCCGGAGATTTCTTTCTTATATGGGTTTTTTTCTTATATGGAATTATAGGATATAAGAAAGTATAACCTCGGTGTTTTTGATAATCTTTCTTATATGAGATTTTTTCTTATATGAGATGTGCTTATATCCGATATCTACTGTAACAATTTTATATTGAAAATAGAATACCGATAGCCATATTAAGGCTTCCGATCCAACCAAAGTGACCAAATTTTGAAAATATCTCCTCGTGTAAAATTAGAACACAAATTTCCCACACCACACTTCCAGTTGCCTTACTTCCCCTATACACAGTCGGATTATAAAACAAACAATGCAAATACTCGTGAGTAACACTCGCTTACACATACATCAATAACAGAAGGCAATTTGTTATTAACACCGGTAGATCTTAGTCATCAAAAATTTGAAATTGAAAAAAGAAAAGAAAAAAAAAACAAAAACAAACAACAACAACAAATACAATCATTCAATTAAAACAAAATTCATGTAAGATTCACATGACAGAAATAAAAAGCAAAATTAATAAAAACGCATCCCAGTTTCCCGCATTTTTTCAATGAACATTAATGACCTATGTCTAAAACGTAATCTCAAAAGGAAGTCCAACAGGAATTTCAATTCAAAAGAAGAGATCATGTCTATGAACTACAAAAGTGAATATTAAATTATGATTTTTTTGTTTTATTTGTATAGACCAGCTTCATATTTATACATTGAAATAATGATACTGGTGCTTCTGATGCTGTTGTATTGTTTAAATAATAAAAAAAAAATTTCAACACAAAGAGGTTATCGACAAAAATGCCATTAATACGATTTGTGCTAATTTTCTTGTTTACTATTTGATTTGTTGTTGTATATAGGTTTTGCAATCAAAATAACAACAACAAAAGGGTAAAGAAAATAAATAAGACCAGACTGCATTAATCTAATTACTTATATTGAAATGAATAGAGGCAGTGTGCAATTTGATACTCTTGTCTAAATATTAACAATTAAAATTGTGCAAAAGTGGAAGAATTGATTTCATAGATGAATGAGTAAAGATGACTCAAGTTAGATTTGGAATTAAAATGCCTACAATCGAAAAAAACTTCTAGTGCAGTTTTTAAATGTGTATTTGAATATATGTACGTGATTTTCTTTGATAGAATATTTCAATGAACTACTTGATATAAGAAAATTCAACAAATTCTATAAAGATATTGGGTCTGTGACAGATTTTTTTAATTACTTCTTCACCCTTTTGTCTAAGACATCGTCGTTTAAAAAATCATTTAGCATAAATAAAGGTTGTAACAAAACTAGTACCGATATTTGGTACAGCCCTCATTTATATATATATATATTAACCATTTCAGCAGCTAAAACCTTGCTGAAAAAAGCAGGACCTTAATATGCGGGACCATTTAAAAAAATTTCATTTTGGAAAATGTCGACAAAAAGTTATTCAACCTACAGAAAATAAAAGTACAGATTTCCCGTTCTGAAAATAAGCTTAAAGCCTTCATAATGCCGGAGGGCAGGACCTTTTTTATGGATAGATGTCATAACATATAACTATATTGATAATTGTAAGACTCCCAGAACCCGGACTGTAAAATTACTGCCACTTTGGCATTTTTAAGGTTAAGACGCATTAATCCTTAAAAATACTGAAATGAGCGGGACCTTATATATGATAGCTATATCAAATCGTGCATCGATATATCTGACTTGCAAAACAAAACATCCTAGTAGTAATAGCAATGGGAGTGGGGAAATTCAAAGCTATATCATAAATATTGCGATCTCTGTGATTTCTGCGGAATCATTGGCACTTCATCATATGGTGCAGTATAATTACTTTGGATGCATTAAAACCAAGCTCCCGAAGTTTCTGGCGAGTCACTGTAGATGTGTGTGTGGCCTAGCGCTGTCTTGGTGGAACACGACACCTCTCCTATTGGCCGACACCTCTCCTAATTGGTTTGGCACCCAAACATCGAACTTCATTTTGAATCCAGCTTTGTGTAAATGATTTAAAATGGTGTTATGGTCGATTTTTAGCACCTGGGCGATGTTACGAAAGCAATTTTATCGACATTTTCGACGACCGGAGATCTTTTTCCCTAACCTAATATTATATTTGCCAATAAAAATATTATTGCATTATATTCAAAAACTCGAAAATGCGAATTAATAAACTTGGCGGGTAATGGAGACCAGAATATTTGGGTAAAGTGGACCAATTTATTGCAATCTTGGGTAGCAATGAATGCATAAATATATGGGTTCATGTTTTGGAATAGCCCCCATTAAAAATAGCCCCCTTTTAAAACCAGAGATTAAGTAAATTTTCAAAACCAATTTTGATGTTTGTTTTCACTAATTATAACTACATTTATCGAGGCGGCATTGACATATTTCAAGCATTTTCATTTTCCATATTACCCGAAGTTCCTCTAATAGGAGAATGTATCAAGCGCATATAGAAGTCCGGCAGTTTAGAAAAACCTTAATCTAAACAAAGTTTGGATTGTGTAGCCATGTAAGCGTTTGCCCACATATAGAGTCTTAATCAAAACATAATCTGAATCCTTATTTTTATTTGAAAGGAATTTGAATTCCGTAGCCACGTATTTCCTGTCCATATGATATTTAAAGAAAACATAATCTGAATGCAAAATTGCGTTTAAAAAGAATTTGGCCTGCGCAGCTATATAGGATACGATTTCATGCCCTGACTAGAATCTACATCTGAAACCCAAATCGCGCTGTAGTTCGAAATGACAATTATTAAAAAACGTTGATTCAATTCGGACTGCGTAGGCATGTATGCACCTTTCCACAGGTGAAAGTCCCAAGGACCGGTCAAAGACCGACATCTTAAAATGATTTGAAATCGAATCCTATATTGCACTTGATTTATAATTCAGTTTAAAAATATAAGTTTCATTGGGACCAATTTCCGTCGCAAATGCCTTTAAAAATAATGTCAACCCGGTATCTTCCCCACTATTTGCTTTGTTCTAACGAACAACAACATATAGCCGCCATAATATTCCTTATCAGTTTGTTGCTATTGATAATTACAATAAATCGAAAAAAAAAAAAAAAATATGAGTCTCTCAAAATCCAAAAAACAACAACGAAAATAATATTTGTGTCCGCGGAAAAAATGTCATTGTTTTCTTGTCAGTTTTTCGTTTGGACAAATGTGTAGCTGTTGCTTGTGGTATGTTATTGACCAGTCTAGCAGATTTTTTTTTTATTTTCTGGAAAAATAATATGTGTAGTTATTTTTAAAATTTTGTCTTTCAAATCTGCAATATACCATAACACAACAGCGGCAACGACCACGAATCTGAAGAAAATATGAAAGGAAAAACAAAATAAGTAGAATTTTTTTCGGTTTGGTTTTTCAACAAACAATGGCCGGTAGATTGGTCGGTCGCTCGGTTGGGGCGTTGTAACAAATGACTACGCAATTTTTTTTCTTCTTTTGTATATAGTTAATTTTTGATGTTGTGGTTGTTGTTGGTGGTGTTTACAAATACTAGCTCATTTTGTCTACATTGCCTGTGGAAATGCACTCACTATCGCAAATATTTGATTTCATTATTCTTTTCAAGCAAATGAAAAAAACTTACGTTATGTTACTGCACCAGTATGTTGGTCCCCAGGTGCATTTGTTTGCTCCCACCAATTGTTGTTGTTGGTGAACAGGAGATGCATTAACTGCATTCAAACCTAGAAAAAGCACAACAGAAAAACAAAATGGTGAAACAAAGAAATAGAAAAATTTGATTTTGATAATTTTTTGTTTAAAACGCAAAAAGTGTTGTTGTTATTAGTAATAAACACAATTATTTTGTTTTTAACAAACACACGCACATACACACAAAGTTAACAAACACTTTTTTCTACGGAAAATATTCGCAAAAGAACAACAACAATAACAAAATGCATTATCTCTATGACAGCGCCATTTCATAGTGGTGTTGGTGGCAATGGTGTCGTCGTAACAACAACAAAACTTAATTTTGTTTTTTTTCTCTATTTCGCACTTACCCAACAAAGCCACAAGGGCTACAATGGCACACAGGCCAATATTCGTTTGTTTCATGATCGAAACTGCCGTCACACCACACAATTTACTTTACAAAGTATTTTTCTTTTGTTTTCCCCTTCACACAGTAATAATTTTAATTAAATTTTATAAATTATATTCATTAAAATCTTATAAGTGTTCGTATTGGAATTTAGTTCTATATATATATATATATATATGTTACTGATACAACGTTCGCGAATGCAATGCAACTGTAGAATAATAAAAAATAACACCAGCTTGTCAACGATGACTTGAGTATAGGGATCGATAGGTCGTCATTCGGTTAATCGATTAGTAAAAAGTTGATTTGTATATCCCTACTATTAAATCGTATTGTCGATTATTTTAAATAATTGCAAATATCTATGAAAGATTGATTTTGAACCCCATTTTTTGGACTAAATCCATTTCAAATTATTTGAAAACTATTTACAAATGTCCGCCTGATACCATCCATTAACCGGTATTTTGGGTAGTTTGAGTTCGTTTTTAACCGATCTGGCTGCAATTTAATACTTTCGAGTTCCAATTAGGTAACATATCCATCTACCAATTTTGTTCATATCCTATTTAGTGCTTTAAATCTGTGAACAGAAAATTATTCTATGATTACGGAAAAAATCGAGGCACAAAGGGTTAAATGACCACTTCAAATGCAACGTCACGTCGGCAACGATATCAGTTGGCATGTTATTCCGACAATCTCGATAGACATCTTGATCTAGTGGTCTTTGTTACATTCTGCCTATTGCGGCGTAATGGTGGGGTTCCACACTAGCTCAGGTGGGAGCGTTTTTTATTCAGGGGGGATTTTTAACCCTGCCACCATTAACCCTAGGGAATGAACACTTTAAGGAACTTTGGATCAACAAAACAAAGACGAATACAAACACTACATAAAACCATGACACAGGAGCTTGATGGAATCTGCTCCTCCACTTCGCCCACCCATCCTTGACCCTTTTGATCCTAAATTTAAATTGCAATATAAAGGGCCCCGTACACCACTTACACTTACTCACTTACAACATACTCTTAGTTTTGGCTCTCACACAATGGAAATTAACACAACATATTTAAACTTTACATTCTAACATAAAAATGATTTATTAACATTGTCATTTTCCTTAAAATTAGAACAAAAAACACAATAGAACCTGAAACATTAACAACTATAAATTTTCTTAAATTCTTGAGTCATTCACTCGGATTACCCTCTTGTTACTTCAAAATTATTGCCAATTTAGGCCATTTTACGAAAAAAAAACGCTTAATACCTGCCTAAATGAGCTCTTTTAGGTGGTTTGGGACATTACTTTCCGTCCACAAACAATTTATAAATTCCAAAACCAAATTTCAAGGTAATTTGGGGCAACCCTACACTCCAATATATATGAAAGACAAGTAATTAATGTTCCTTACAAAAATTATTTAAAACATTTAGACAATACCACTTAACCTAGGTTATAACATATACACGATTAAACTATTTATTATATATATTTGTTAATTTTAAATCAACTTGTTTTCTTTTGTTGTTTTTCTTTTAATTTATATCAATTTTGTGCCTTTTTAAATTATATTTTTAATTAATTGAATTTTGTTCTTCTTTTTCTTTTTTTTTTAGATTTCAATAAAGTGGTGCTTTGAACTTTTCTTCAGGCAATAGTAAGTATAAGCCTTATTCTATTTTACCTGGACTTAGCCAATATTTTACATCAACATTTATTTCCTCTTTCAGGAGCACTTATCACATTTCTTTCGGGGTAAGGCAGAACCCGAGACTTTCTTGGCGGTGTAGTTGGCGGTTTTGTGGTGTGGCCGAAAATCGTTATTATGGCTGTTAGCCTGGCCAATATTTGCTGTTGTGCTGCTGTGGCCAATAAAAATGAACTGACCCCTCCGTTTCGTCTGCCGGGGAGGCCAGTTGACGCCTTTGAATATTTTTATGTTGGCGATATCTACAACCATAAAAGAACAAAACACAAAAACTCATAAATCTACAGAATTACACACCACACAAAGACTTCACACTTACACTGCGTTTCTAACGCCCACGACAAAATTTTAAAAATAATATAGGCGAATTTCAGCCTTTAATAAATTTAGTTTATTAACCAAAAAAGGATTTTTGTTTTAATTTTCGAAAATAATTTAAGACAACTGTTAACTGTTTTCGAGTGCACCACTGGGGAAATGAAGGAGAATTTTTCTTTTTGGAGCTTTTTATACTCCTGTAAGGACGCCGAATTTTCCCTCCTTACCAGGTTTTTCCTGATTTCCCTGACATTTACCAATTTTCCTTTGTCGATCTAGCCAGCCCTTAAACATATCGCAGGGTTGTATTTTCGATTAGCTCATTTCTTTGCTAATCGACTTCAATACAACCCTGCCAGTGGCGGCAATTCTAAATAACCCTGGGTTAGAACATTTCCGCTTCATTTTTTGGACGTGGGTTGAACTGGAGATTTGTTTGCGGAGTTTTGCATGGCATTTTTTTTTTAATAAAAATTCCACACGCAACAAAACTTCTCAATTTGTAACCATTGGGAAGCAAATTGAGATGTGCGTGGTAATGAAAAAATAAAATAATTGTTGGCTAGAAATGCAGGTAAGTTAATCTAAAAAATTATTATTTGCAAATACCTAACCCATCTTCTTTTCCTTTCAGAAAACTCATGGTGTCACATTTTTTTGCGTGGCTTGTGTTTGGTGTCTCAATGAGGTACGTGTGTGTGTTTGCGTGTGCGTACCCACGCTTCTTTCAATGCAGCTGCTGCCGGCGCAACACATTTGAAACCCAACGTAGAGTCTAAACGCAACCATAGAGTCTAGAGTCAGCGACAGTCGTTTGCCGTGTGTTTCTTATAGGCAACGGGAAATCGCGACGTCTGACGTTCGCGTCTAGCGGCATGACGCTAGAATAGATTTTATTCATTTTTGCTCAGCGTCATACTCAAAATTTCTCTCTTGCTCTCAATTGAGTTGCCATGTTTTAGGTAAAAATCAACAGTGCTACCAAATTTCAATGAGAATTTATATCAAAACATATGGCAGTACTGTTAAAAAAACAAATATTTTCAAAGATTGTGGATGTTTTTTTTAATGAATTATTAGAGTTAGCGTTAGCGGCACAAAATGTCAATTATTTGTTTTCATTTTCTAACAGAAAATTTTACGTTGTGCAAACCAAAATCAATTTATTATTTAATAAACAATAATGTCAAGGAACTTGGATAAAATTATCGAAAAAAAATATTTTTCTTCTATTTTATTATTAATTCGTTAAAAAACATCCACAATCATTGAAAATATTTGTTTTTTCAACAGCACTGCCATATGTTTTGATATAAATTCTCATTGAAATTTGGTAGCACTGTTGATTTTTACCTAAAATATGGCAACTCAATTGAGAGCAAGAGAGAAATTTTGAGTATGACGCTGAGCAAAAATGAATAAAATCTATTCTAGCGTCATGCCGCTAGACGCGAACGTCAGCCGTCGCGATTTCCCGTTGCCTATAAGAAACACACGGCAAACGACTGTCGCTGACTCTAGACTCTATGGTTGCGTTTAGACTCGTATGTGTGTTTGGTAGCAGAATCATGTGTGTGCCTTACTAAATACATTGGTTTTCATTCAGCTGCTTTCCATTCACACACACACACATACCTGCATGCGGCTTTTGGGGGAAAAAACGCAGCAGCATTTATTGCAATGAATGTGCATTACGTGCGTAGCGTCTTTACTTCAATGGAGGTTATGGTAAGAAATGTAAAATATTTTGATAATTGATAATAATGATTTATGTGTGTTACTTTTCAGAATTTGTGCAATTGTATATGCGATATTATTCTTATTTAATATTATTATTATTATTTAATATTATTATTATTTAATATTATTATTTATTATGTGTCTGATTAATAACCTTTTTCCTTTTCATTACAGGTAATAAAAAGAACGTGCACTTGGGAAAAGCCTTGGTCACTACCCAAAAAGAATCTTGGAGTTTTTTATGGACAGATGGGTGAAAGATTGTTTGATGCAGTTTTGCATTCAATGCGTGGCGTATTTGCCGCAATTTCAACGCTCCAGTTACTGGTCTTATTTTGTGATGGAGGTGAGTACTCCTGGCTTCCAATTGTCTTTTAAAATTTTAATTAGAAATAGTGTGTATATTTGTCTGTGCTATTGTGACTATCTTGCATGTGTGTTATTAATTAGTTGTTGTGGGATCCCAAATTTATATCATTTTTTTACGAATTTTCTTTTGAATAATTTTATTATTTCTTTCCAGTGAATCCTTTTGATTGTAATTTTTCCAAATTTTCATTGCTAATTATGATTTCACTAATTCCTTCTTGTCTTCCTTTTCAGGTAATATATAAAATTCACTCTTGTTGCTGTATAATATTTGCAAACACAACTGCCAGCTGGTTTCAATTATGGATATTTTCATGTGTCTATGGAGTTTGATTTGTTTGTGTATACCTGGAATATTTACATCATCAAGGACTTGTCCCGTTTGAAAAGACCATAAATGGACAATATTAAAATTCGGATAATAGCTGGTGAGTGTGTTTTCAATTTATTATTATTATGTCCATAAAACTAGTTGTGTGGAGTGTGTGTATGTGCAATAAAATATTGTAAATCCTTCCAAAGGATAGGAATTGTATTTTGTCGACGGTGACGATGTGAAAAAAATGTGATCTGTTTTGAGCAAAAGACGTGAGTCTTTTGGAAGGCGATATATTTTATTGCATGCAATAAAAAAAATAGAAACACCTAAAAGTATACAGTTTAAAACTGTAGTGTAGCATGCGATACAAATTAAATAATCATTTGGCTGTGAACTTCTGTTATGGGAGACAGATAGTTTTAATATTTATATGTGATTTGAAAATCAATTGATCTTATTGAAATATAATGACTTGGTGGTATCAAACAAAACATTGATTTTCATGCAGTTATACTTTTAAACAAAAAGTAAAGATTGGAGCTTGTCGAAATAAT